TCAAAAAAATACCAGCCACCACATGCCCTACACTTCAAAAACATGCACACAACTCCAACTTCCTGGTAGTGCATCTATTTAATCATCCTGAAGCTATCTGCTGAGGATCTAATATGTGCTGGGAGCCAGGCACAGGAGACTTAGGATACCGCGCTGGATAACACAGCACACAGTCCCTTTCCCTAGTGCGGCTTGCAGTCTGGTTAAAGAGAACGATGTATATATCAAACTAACAACCACAGGAATGAATACCGAATTCTGATCTGTGGTTATTAGGATCCTGAAGACAGCAGTGGGTGCCACGGAGGAGTGGAGTGGGGAGCTGCCTGCATCCTGGGGGTGGGGGGCCTCTGAGAAAGTGTCATTTGGGTGCAGATCCCCAGGGTAATCCGAGGGCATTACTTTGGGAAGAGGAGGGAACATTCCAGATAGAGGGGAAAGCACGTGCAAAGGCCCCAGAATGTTTGAGGAGCTGAAAGGAGGCCGGTGGGGCTCAAGGCTGAAAGGCTAAAGGGTGTCTGGAGCAGTAAGTAAGGGCCAGAGCACACAGGCCTGGTAAACCAGGTTTAGAATGGACCCTAAGGACACAGGGAGCAATAGGTTAGGGGTGGGGAGTGATGGATGGGCCTGGCCTCAGGTGCGTTTTAAGTAGTTGACTGAGAAATGAAACGAGAGGAAGCAGGACTACAGAAAAGGTGGGAAAGTTAGGAGGCTTCGGCAGGGCTCCAGGACAGAGAGGACGGCAACTTGCTTTGCCAGCCAGGATGGAACAGACTATGATGTGCTCACAGACATCACCCAATGGCAGTTGCTTTGCATCACAGAGGTCTGTTTCTTACTCATGAAATGCCCACTAGACACTGGGTAGCTCTCTAGGGCAGCCGTGCTCCCTGCGATCTAGGAATACTGCGTACTGCACTCTCGGGGCACCTTCCTTTCAACAACCCACTTCCATAATCACTGTGGCAGGAGAAGAAAGTGCTGGAAGGTCTTACGCTGTATCCGGCTGCTTCAGCCTGGCCAGAACTAGCTGCATGCCCGACCTGACTGCACAGTGGTTGTCAGAAAAGGGCAATCATCCTCTGTGCCCAGAGAAAGAGGCAATCAGGATTCAAGAGTGGACCAGAAGCCCACATCCACTTGCCCATTGGCAGGAAGAGAGGCTGACAGATTTGAGGTCTATTCTGGAGGTAAAACTGACAGGACTTCATCATAAGTTGGATATGGGAGGTGAGGTAGCAGGAGGTATCAAGATAAAGATATAAAGAGAGATTCATAATTAATCCTCCAGAAGTGTGGTCAAAAACGACTGCACAAAATACATATTGGCTCACAAAATCCCTCTTTATCTTTTTTTTTTTTGGCTGCATTGAGTCTTGGTTGCTGCGTGCGGGTTTTCTCTAGTTGCGGCGAGCGGGGGCTACTCTTCGTTGCAATGAGTGGGCTTCTCACTGCCGTGGCTTCTCTTGTTGCGGAGCACGGGCTCTAGGCACGCAGGCTTCAGTAGCTGTGGCACGTAGGCTCAGTAGTTATGGCTCGCGGGCTCTAGAGCGCAGACTTAGTAGTTGTGGCGAACACGCTTAGTTGCTTAGTTGCGGCATGTGGGATCTTCCCGGACCACGGCTCGAAACCATGTTCCCTGCATTGGCAGGCGGATTCTTAACCTCTGCGCCACCAGGGAAGTCCCTCCCTCTTTATCTTGATACGATTTTCTCCCCCTCCCCACTTCCTTCCTCCTTCTGTCTACGTGCCTCACCTTCTGTGCTTTCTGAATATATTACCGTACCTTCCAAGGATTTGTTTATTTCTAATTTGCTGTGTATTTTATTCAGGCAGCACCATTAATGAAGTGAATTACTGAGCCAGCAGTGCTTTGAATTCTGATGGCTTCGCAAGACTGAATTTGTGAAACTGTGACAAACAGGCACCCAGGGTTTGGTGTCAGAGCACTTTCCTTAAATCGGAGAGTATCCCTGTTAATAAGAAGTCCAAACAGCTTTGCCCAACTGAAATCACAGAAGGCCCATGGAAAGCACATGAGGGTACCTGTGGGGAAGTGGAGGTGAGAGAATGAAGAATGAAGCCAGAGGGACAAAAGGGGCCTTAGGTGTCAGCCAGCAGGGCCAGCCTTGAATCTGGGCTCCACTCTCTGACCTTGGCCTTTAAATCCAAGAGTTTCCTTTTTAAATCTTTACTCAATAAGGTAGTGTATAGGGATGCTACAGATTAAATGTTTGTGTCTCCCCAAAATTCATATGTTGAAACCCTCTCCCCCAAGGTGATGGTACTAGGAGGTGGGGTTTTGGGAGGTGATGAAGTCATGAGGAGGGGGCGATCATGAATGGGATTAGTGCCCTTATAAAATCAGCCCAAGAGGGCTTCCTGGTCCCCTTCCGCCTTGTGAGGTTACAATGAGAGGATGACTGTCTATGGGAAAGTGAGCTCTTCAGACACCAGACCTGTACATGCTATGATCTTGGACCTCTAGCCTCCAGAACTGTGAGAAATTAATTTCTGGTATTTATAAGCCACCCTGTCCAGGTCTAGCAGCCTGAATGGACCAAGACATGGGATGGGTATAAAAACAGCTGATACACAAAAGTTACTGAATAAATGTTTTGTTCTTGTTCTCCTAAATGCATTCTGTGTTGTTTCCTCAGTTGTTGTTATTACAATAGGGGATGGTATGGTAATACTTCTCCCACCCACAGAAGTCATTTCACAGTAAAAGGAACAGAAAGGGGAGCCCCTTGAGTTCTCTCTTTCTCTCCTGCCCCCTTTTCATTCAAAGGATCTTCCTAGTTTTCTTCCTTTTCATCTAATGTCATTAAAATCTTCCTAGGAGAATGCTAAAATACTGACCTGTGGAACCCATAAACTTCAAATGTTTGTCTACATTAGGCATCTGGCCAATATAGCCCCTTTCACTGCCTCTTAGACAAGACTCCTAGTTCATGCTGTTTTCAACAATGTTTGTTATTCAAAGTGACAGAAATACAAATTAACAATATAACCGCCATGTTTTAAGATGCTTGAAGACCTGACACCGTCAGAGATGCCAGGACCCGTGGAGAAGTGGAAGGCATTAGACCTTCCAGGGAGAGGGCTAGACCATCAGTCCTCTCCATTGTGGGAATAAGTGAGAATTAGACGTTCCTTAGATCTGAGCTCATGAGGAAAACCACAAGCGAGTTACTTGCTCTTGAGAGAGGAAAAGAAGAAACTTTCCCAGGTCTGAGTTGAGAGAGGTCATGATCCTATTTGAGAAGATGGCATCCACCACAGATGAGGACCTTAGAATAAATCCTCCTCAACTTCTGATTTGGGGACATCTCTCAGACAAGGCAAAGGGGACAGAGAGAAATACAAAGAGAAGAAAGTAGGAAATCCAAAGACCTGGGGTCACAAGTAACCTGGCAGAAGATGAGATGGCTACAAGTCGTGTGGGCTGATTTATAACCCGAGGAAGGATGACTGGGGATCAGGTTGGAATGGCCCATCCAAAAGGACTGGATGTTCAGGGAGAACTTGAAATGGTAAAGGAGGCAGCAGAGAAAGCACATCAGAGCCTGCTGCTGCCGGGGATCTCACATGTAGGTAGAAGTCTAGGATATGAACGGAGAGGGACCCCTGCCCCCCACAAACTAACTCAATTTGGTGGTCTGAGCAGTTGGGTCTGGGAGACAAAAAAAAAACCTCTAAGAACCAAAATCTCTGGGGCCAGACTCTCATGGGTTCAAAATAAGATAATAGACAATTATCTACTATAAAGATAATAATTATCTTTCCATCAACTCTGATAGCTTTTTTTTAAAATTTCAATTTGCTGGTGAAAGCCCTTTTAAAGAAATTCTTACCAGAATTAGCCAAAGAAGAGAAAAGAATCAGCCTACATACAATCTGCCAAATATACAGTGGAAACAGCCTCCCAGGACAAGTCATGGAGGGACGGTGGCCATCCTCCTGGAGATCTGCTAGAAGCTGATGAACCAAGTTAGTGCTTGAGGCGTCCCAGACCAGAGAGCTGAGATGGCTCTAAATGCCCTGCCAATGTCTCTTTAATTGCTCCATTACAAGATCACAATCTCTGCTTGCATGTCACTAGACAAGATTGCTTGTCTGCTCATTTGTAGCATGGGTAGCATCTCACCAGCATGCCCAAGTTCCTGCTCCTTCAACATCCTGTCACATCCACC